TCAATTTCAAGTACAATCACTTGTCTATGCCAAAAATAATTATTTTCATAAAAGGACAAACATAGCTGTAATTAATAAATGTGCTACTTGTTGTTCCTCTTGGAATGCTTCTTTAGATTTAACACATAAGCATGAATCCCGACCCTCTGTTGTCAAGCTGATTCCAACTCCTAGTGACTCTACAGGACAGACTAGAACTGTACCATAGGGTTTCTGTGACTGTGCATCTTTTTGGCAGCAGACTGCCACATATTTCTCCCACAAAGCAGCTTGTGGGTTCTAACATTTTGGTTAGCAGCCCAGTGTTGAATTACTGCAGAAGTAGGCCTCTTCCCTACATGTATACACACACAAACACTCACTGCCATTGACTCTATTCCGACTCATAGCCACACCTCCTTGGGTTTCCGAGGCGGTATCACCTCGGAAGTAGATTGCCCAATCTTCCTTCCGAGCAGTGGCTAGTGGGTTTGAACCTCTAGCCTTCTGGTTAGCAAATGCCTTAGGCACTTAGCCACCAGAGTTCCCACATATGTATCAGGGGAATGAAAAAAGAAAATGATTTCTGTTAGTAAAATTTCCACTCTCTTCAGGTGCCACTAATAAAACATAGATATCAAATTGTAAGAGAGCTAGTTAAAAAGAAGAAGACTCTCAGTAGTGGCTGCAACAATGGACTCACGAGTAGCTACAATTTTGAAATTGGCACAGGACCGGGTAGTGTTTTGTTTTGTTGGACACAGGGTTGCTATAAGTCAGAGCCTACTTGAGGGCACCTAACAACAGCAACAGCAACATCAAGCAATGGAACATATTTTACTACTAGCAATAATACCTGATCTCTTGGCAAATATCAGTGCAGCTTTATTGACATTTGAGAGCTACTTTCTAGGTCACACAACATGGTTAGTGTGCAGCTGGCTCTCTTGATTATCCTGGGAATATTAGAAACTCATGGGCCCTTCCAGCAGGTTTCACACATGTAAACTGAGCAGTTAATCTCTGAGTATATTGTATCTTGTCCTTCATGTACTTTGTTAATTAGGTTTCCTATTGAGAAGATCTTTTCCCATGTCAATACCACAATGAATTTGAAATTAATCAACATTAAATACCATTTACCAAACAGTTTCATTCATTTTGCAGAGCAGAAATGGTCAGTTTCTTTAAACACAATATTCTATCCATCTCATAGATAGACAGTGATAGCTAATGTTAGTAATGATTTCACTATGCTTTTGAATTTTCTCTCCACCTAGCTGTCTCTGCACTTGGATCTATTTTTTTATCAGTAATTATAAATATTGTTACAACAGGGTAAATTTTTAGGTTATATAGCACAAAAAATGCTTTGATTGGAACAGTGATGGAAAAGAATAAAAGGATACGGGGACATAGCTGAGTGATAATTCATTGGTAACACCTGGAAGAAAAATTTAAAGGATAGATTATCAAATTTCTATTTACCCTTCAAAATGGGCACTTTGAATAACATTTACTAATCTTGATTTGTCTATAAAATGGCAGATAACTAAAACCATCTGACTCAAAAAGATGAGACTGTGTATTGAAAAGCATTTAAAAAATGTTAAAGGCTAAAATTTAATGTTTTATTAACACAATTATTTCCTTAGT